TGGCCTTTGCCTTCTGCAGAGACAGAGAGGGGGAGGGCCTGAGTGGGGGGCAGGGACCAGAGCCCAGGCAGGGCTGGCCTGATCCCAAGGGCCTCACGGCCTCTCAGATGAAACAGTGAGAGGCTGAAGGCAACAATGGGAGCCCATGTTTCTCTCTCTCCACCCCAATCTACAGCCCTCCCCAGGCAGCATGACCACCCCACCCTGCCCTGCCCTGTGGCTGACTCCCTTTGTGTCCCCACAGACTCTCCCCTGCCTGCTTTACCTGGGGCCAAGCCAAGCCAGACATAGGCTATCGGCTGGAGCCCGCACTTCTCCTCTTCCTATGCTCAGGACTGCCCAACAGGGCCAGCTCAAGAACCAGCAGAGGACAGGCCCTGGGCAGAGCACTGGGAACTGCTGCATGTCACAGGGAAAGGGGATATAGCCAAGCTCAGCACGACACTGTCCCATGGGCAGTCCCACTGGGGAGGTGCGGTAGCAGGAGTCCTGATTGCAGGACAGCAGGGAAACAGTAAACTGCCCTGAGCTAGGAGCCCTTTCAAGGGCTGGGAAGGAGAGGAAATGCCCTGATCAGGCTGTGTCAGGGGCGCCAGCCTGTAGGCCATCTGGCTTTCTAGTGCGGCTGCAACTGAGAGACCTCCCCACCTCAAACCGAGCCAGCTGGACTCCACCCTACGGGGCAGTGAGAAGCTGGGCTTTGGGCTGGGGTGCTCCTGTCACTCTTGGGTTCCACACACAGGGCTCACGCTCACCCCGTTCTGGTACTGCATCCTCCCCCAGGGAGCAGAGACCCAGGAGGCCATGGTCCCCCCCTGCTGCTGCAGCATAGCCTGCCCCGTGTTCACCGCTCACCTACCTGTGTTCCTGTCACCTTTACTCGAGGTCTGGAAAAGAAGGAAGAGCTGCATCAGGACCTACAGGCAGCACGGGGAGCTCTGTGGTACGCTCCCCCCAGCCCAGGCAGCCAGCTTTCCCCCCGGGGCAAAAAGCAGGGAGTGAAACGTCCCCAGCATGAGGGCGACTAGTTTGAGCACAGAGGAGCAGGCATAGGGCTGGCTGATGGCCTTGCGGCCCCCTTCACACCAGTCTGCCCCTCGACACTCATTCACAGCCTCCCCCTATCCCCCACCAGGGCTTCTCAGTCCCAACCTGCCCCCCCCGCACCTGGCCCTGAAGCCTCATGGTCTCAACTGGCTCTGCTGAAC